CTAGAGCTATTGAGTAGGGGCCCAGCTGTGTGCAGGAGAGACCACCCCTTGGCTGCTCTGGAAGCCAGAAGAAGGGTGGTACATGACCCCCAAACATAACATCCAAGCAGGTCATTGCGTGGCAGCACAGTATCATCCTCTGTCTTCATTGATTTTGAAGCCTCACACCTGGTGCCCTCCCCTTCAGCTAGTTTCTGTCACCTGCTCCCTGCCAGAGCATCCATTGCATATGGCACCGGTAATGATGTCACCACAGCACTCCAAAGCTTCAGGCCTGTCCTCACAGGTGAACAGGATAGGAAAGTCATTGCTTGACATGATGCCCAGGGCCTGACTAGACATACTCTCGTCTTGGCTACTTTACTCTTTTTGTTGGTTCAGGATTTGTTATTTTTATTTATGTACATTTGCATATGTGTATATGTATGTCACATGTATGCAGGTGCCCTCAGGGTAGGTGTTGGATCCGTGGCTTCCAGTTACAGGTGACTGTGACCCCCTCACTGTGGGGTGCTTGTATCTGAACTCGGATCCTCTGAGTGAATAGCAAGTGCTCTTAACCTGTCACTAGTCCCTGTCTTTAGTCCCAGCTAACTGACTCTTGGACGGCAAGCTTTCTGTCTGTAGCTGTGAACACTGTACCCCAGCCAGCCAAGCACACTTCCATTTCCTTGAGAAGACACTCTGCTTTCGTTCTTCTTTCTTGTTGGAGAGCTGACATGCAGCTGCACTGGCCTGTCCTCCCAATGGCCAGGCCAGCTCTGCATCCCTGGAGGCTCACCAGTGATTTCATTGCTGAACTTTGCTGGCCTTTCTATGCCCTTGAGGTGGCAGACCCCTGTACTTTCACTGATGCCCCTTCCTTCCTTCTCACAGCACCAACCCTGCTACCAAATTCTGTTTGTCTGTTGTTCTCTCCCTCCCCGTTCCCTGCTAGACTTGAGACTCAAGGGAAGTCAAGGGCATCTTAATCTTGTTCACAGCAAGGTCTTTCTCCAGCATTCTTAAAATAAATATCATCAGAGAAAATTGGTATGCTGTATTTGCCTCCACATTTTATGGTAGTTGGCAAAGTTGACTGAAAGATGACATTGGCGACAAAATGAAGACATTATTTTTGGACCTCAGCAGCCAAGGTTGAAATACGTGGGACTCCTGTTTTTCCCGTGGCTTCTTTGGAAGCTGGAAGGAAGCAGCTGTCCGCTGCTCCCCACCAGCCATGCCCCGAAGGTCTGTTTGTCTTGAAGAAACTAATTATAAGTCACCTCAGCAATGATTTGACCGTGGAACTCTCTGTACCATCAACAAACAGAAAACCAAATATTCCTAGTCTCCGATGGGTTTGTGCAGGGCTTGAACGCCCTCCAGGCCTTGTTATTTCGGCAGTGGAAAGACGCCCTGTGCATGTAACCTCAGTGATGGATGAGGAATTTGGGTTTAATCAGGCACTGCACACTTTCTGCCCCAGCATGAATTGCCTGTGGTGCCTGTGAATGTGTTGATGAATTTTGGTGTTTATCCATATTTGGAGAAAAGCTAAAGTTATAACTGAATTGGATCTTTGTGTTCTGCAAGTGGCTGTTTAGGACCCAAACGCTGAAATGCATTTATTTTGAGAGTTTCAGGTGATAAGAGGTTTTTGTTTGTTTTTTTTTTCTTCATTTAAAAAAAAATGTAGTTACTTCTCTCTTTTTAAAACCTTCTTTCATAAAATAAAGTAACTTTTTTTATTTGTTTTTGTTTTAGACTGGTACCTATCAGGTGGTAATTTGCCAGTTAGTCTAAGGTAATAAGAAACTTGAATTTGGATTTGATTCAGTTCCATTAGGGCAGATTTAAATTTTTGTGATACAGGGGCTATTATCCTGGTGGTTATAAGGGATTTTTGTGCTGGGCATCGAGGCTGACAAAGACCACAGTGTACATGAGCCATCTAGAACGGAGCGCTTTCACACTGCAATTTAGGAGCTGTGCAGTTCAGGAAATTGCTGGATTTGGCTGGACCATACTTTTACTGCAAGGAAAATTTTATTCGTCACTCAAGTAATTGGCAGTTTTAATACCTTGTTCATAATTACCTTATAAACAAATGAATATATAAACCGAAGATTGTATGGCTTGTTATCTAACTTGTAACTGTATTAGCCCAGCAAGAGAGACACCTTGTGGGCCTCTTTTCCCCTACCTTGAAAAACTAATTTGCTTCATTTATTAAAAAAAAAAAAAAAAACTAATAATAACAAACTCAAACACTACACTATTGTTTTCTTTTTGTTGTTGAAAAACACTGTTTAAGTTTCGTAGTTTAGCCCCAGACACCTTGGGCCCAAACCAGGTGCAGACTTGAAGGGAGACGTGAGACAGACAGGGAGGGTCTGGGCATTTCGGGGCTGCTGGGCAGCTGCTGAGAAGGCGTCCTGGTGATGGAAACATTAGGCTATGGATTTAAGAGAAAATTTCTGTACCCCAAATTGTGGTTTTGTTCAGCCCCTTTACCCTGACCCCAAGGCCTCTTGGCTTGGCTTGGAGTGCCTCCATCTCCGGACCTAGAAATTGACTAATTGTCCTAGTTGCATTAGCCTGTACCTCACAGCTAGATCAAGGAGTTTCTACTCTGGCAAAACCAGATGTGGGAAGTGCTCAAAATCAGAGGTCATGGCTGACTTGACTCTAAACAAAGTCTGTAAGGCTTTATGGAAATCCAAGGGGCTTTGTAATCTGTGACTCATATGTAGAACTGCTGCTTTTGTTCTTGTTTATTTATTTTTCTCCTATAACCTCAGCTCTAAGGTGTGCACCGTCAGCTTGTTACCCTGTGTAGGAAAAGGTGAAGTTACATTCTCTGGTGATTTGGGTCTTATAGATCAAACAGACAATGCCCCTTCAAAGGAACAGACTGTGGGTTCTGACTGCACTTTGAGAAGCTGCTGTGCTGTTTAGAGCCCATGTCGCTGGGCTTCTCCCCTTACTGCTTGTGTGGAGAGAGTAGCAACCTTCTAATGGTAGTGGACGCTGAGCACACAGATCCCAGATGCCTGGCCTGTCCAGGAGGAGAGTGCAGGCATGGCATGGACTGAAAGGGCCCCTGGCTCCCTTCCGCTGTGATGACACATCAGTGGGCCACTTGGCTTTCCCTATCTGTTTGAAAATTAAAGTTGAACATTTTTTTTTTTTTTTTGTCAAGGGTAAGAAGTAGCAGATCTTTCTGAAGGAACGTGTACAGTGAGAATTTAATTGGCAGAATCTCAAAAAGAAACCTGGGCTTGGCTGGGGGAGCAACCCAGACTTACCATGTGAAGTGGTTCAGAAGTGGTTGGACTGGTTATGCAAAAAAGCCCTGGTTTCACAACTTCAGATTACCTCTTACATTTGTAAGAGAGAAAGTATTCTATGATTGAGTGACATAATCTATGAAGCTTGTTTAGTGCAGCGCTTAATACCTACTGTGTGCTCACCATTATTTCTGGTTTCATCACCTTCCAGCACAGTTCCTGCTTCTAAGGAGTTTACAGTATGGCAGAGGCCAGTGCTGTGCATGCGGTAATGAGATGCAGTGTAAGATTTGGGGGCCCATATAAGAAAGCCATTTAACATTTAACCTGAGTGAAGTGTCATCTCTGAGTTATTAATAAAAGCTTAACCCAAAGCACTATGAAAGTCCAGCCTTTTGTAAGCTACATACACATGTGAGGGCTATTTTCTGAGTAAGGAGAATACACATGCCAAATACAGTTTCTGATTTCCCTGTGAAGAGTTACTGCAAACTATAGAAGTACTGGCATGATGTGGGTGTGAGGTGCAGAGCCCCGTGTGCAATGTTCAGATCCTGTGGCTACAGTACCTGTGTCCATTTGTAAGAGTTTGACTGGGCATCCTCCCTCCCCCATTTGAAATGCAGTAGAGAGATGGTGTGAGTATTCATCTCATTAGATGCTATCAGGACCATTGGCTACTGTTCTCTTGAAATATAGATACTGTAATAAAGGAACACTTTATTGTTTGAGACACAGTTTTCTTAGGTAGCACAGGCTGGCTCAGTACTTCTGCCTCTGCCTCCTGAGGGCTGACATTAGAATTGTGTGCCTCCATGCTGAATGACATGTACTCATGTGTGAGTGTGTGTGTGTGTGTGTGTGTGTGTGTGTGTGTGTGTGTGTGTGAAGACTGATAATGTCAAGTATGTGCTAATCTACCTGTCTCTAGAGATGGTTCAGGTGGTGGCTCTTCTGGGATACATTTGTAACATAGAAGGAGAATGTAGCTCATTCTCTGTTTTGAAGCCCCTGGCAACTTCGTAACTTGCTGTAGAAAACGGGATCTTTCTAGCCAGGCACTGAAGCAACCACAGGGTGATGAGTATTGGAAGTTGATTGTCACTGTGGTGTGAGAACACTCCTAAAAAAAGAATCCAGTTAGGAATCAAGAAGAAATAACCATAGCTGGATAAATGTGCCTGCTGTATAAGCCTACCCAGCTGATTGGGATCCCTAGGTCCCATAAAAACATACCAAAATGGAAGTAGAGAGAGAACTTGACACCACAAAGTTCTCTTCTGACCTCTACATGTGTAGCCCTCTCCCACAACAGTAGTAAATACAGTAAGTTTAAAGATGTGTGTGTCTATAAGTAATGTATTTGTAGATTATATTAGGTAATACATATTTATATATAACGAATGGGGAGTGAGGGCAGTGTGGCTTGGCGGGCCCACTCAATGCTAGACGTTTCATTTGCTAAATCTCATAAAACAAGAAGAAAAATTATCTGAAAAGAAATCGATCAGCCGGCTGTGTGAAAGCATGACAGTTAGATGTGCTCACCATCCTGTAGGAGCACTCTGCTCTCTCTGGTATGACCTCAGAGAACACACAGCCACGGGGCTTTTTCAGATCAGCTAGTTTCTTACACCTCTGAAGAACAAGTCAGGAAGAGGCAGCTCTTGCTCCTCTCCCTTTGGTTTGCACTGCTGACCCGTTGCCCGGACTTTGTCTTAATTGTAGGGCTGGGAACAGCATTGATGAAATCCTCCCCGAGCAGCTGGAAGCCTTTCAGTCCCTTGAGGCTTTGGACCTGAGCAACAACAATATTTCAGAACTTAGAGCTGCATTTCCACCCTTACAACTCAAATATCTGTGAGTATAAGTTACCAAAGCCTCTCACCCACAGTGAGAACAGGGGAGGAGGGCCTTCAAGATAGAGCAAACTCAGTTTTACTGCTGTTGGATTAAAATGCAACTTTCTTACTGACTTGAAATTGGCAATAAGCCTAAATACATACAATCTTCTTTCTTACAATTTTGTATCACAAAAAGCCCCAAACTAGATCATTGCCTGTTTATTAATAACAATTTCCACACAAGTGTGTGTGTAATATATATATATATATTACACACACACACACTTGTGTATATATATATATATTACACACACACATATATATATATTACACACACACATTTATATATACATCTGCATATATATGTAACGTTTGTTGCCTTCAAAGATCAGTCAGTGTTTCCTCTCTGTATATTTGTATTAGCTGTTTTACTCTCTGCTGTCACTCAGTTCCTGACAAGAAGTTATTGAAGGGATGGGGCTTATTTTCACTGACAGTTTGAGGGTTCGCTTCATCATGCCAGGGAAGGCGTGATGGAAGAAGTAGCAGGCAGCCCTGTCACTTCCTGTGGTCAGGAAGTCAGGCCAGATTAAGTCCCATCCTCTGTGGTCTGCTTCCTCTAGCTAGGCCCCACCTCCCAAAGGTTCGTGTTCTAACTCAGGAGCCTGCACTGGACATTTTTTATTAAAACTACAGGGAGTGAATCTTTTCATTTTTACTTATTATTTTTCCTGGTACTGGATATGGAACTCAGGGTTTCTTCACACATACCCAGTAAGCACTCTGCCAGAGAGCCATATCCCAGCCCATAGGTGTGAACTTTAATTTGTTCGCAGGGACCTCAGTATTCACAAGTTAAGTGTCCACTGATGGTCAGGTTCTCTGGAGGGTCGCTGCTGTGGGGAGGTTGGAAGCACTTTAACCTTCCCCAGAAACCCGAGCAAGCCTTTGACCTTCAAACTCTTCAAACAGGTTCATCAACAGCAACCGGGTTATGTCTATGGAACCAGGGTATTTTGACAATTTGGGGAGCACACTCCTGGTGCTGAAGCTGAACAGGAACCGAATCTCATCCATCCCCGCCAAGATGTTCAGACTGCCTCAGCTGCAGCACCTGTAAGTGAACGTGCACTCCGATGCCATGTTCTCCTCTCTAAACCTTTGGTGTCTGTATTCCAAGGCTCCCAGTGTGGCAGGAGGAGGTTGGAGGCAGGCAGGCGACTGCCTTCCCTTTAACGAAAGAGTGGTGGGGTCTCCAGACCGGGAAGAGGCCTCCCCATTACCTCCTGCCAGCTGCAGGCTGACGAGACATGCTAGATGTATGCTGAAGGAGCAAACAGTGGGAGCACTGAGCCGCCCCTTCGCAGAGGTGCCATTGTGAACCCGGAAAAACCTGGGAGGAGAACACAACAACTCCAGGACGCATTGATAGCCTCAGTGGCCAGAAAGAACTGTCTTGTTAAGATTGGCAAACTGGTTTGTGAACAGGCTCCCGCAATGGCACTTTTCAACCTTGGCTGTACTTACGGAGACCTGGGGAGCTTTTCAAATCCCCCAGTGCCCAGGCTGCACCCTAGACCAATTATACTCAAACCTCTGGGGTTGCAGTTCCAGCTTGGGAAACTTTTAAAGCTCTCTCAGTGGTTGTAGTGTTTACCAGACATGGAGAGCTGCAGTGTGCAGGAAAGTGTCAAACTAAAATTAACTGGGCTTGAAGGCAACCAGCTTCAAGTACGTGTGGAGTGGGCTTTCCTGGCCACTCTGAGTAGACGCCCTGCGTTCCTGGGATGGGTAGCCCTCAATATCAGTTTGTTTGCTGCTACCTCGAGTGGACAACAGTTTAGAAATGAAAACCTAATGTACTCTCATGCGTTTTACACAGACACTCACCCCCTGAAATAAACTGAAGGAAAAAAATGAAATTCTTGTCAATACAATGTCTGGAAAGTGTAAAGCGTTCTGTGTAGTTTAGCACTGACTGGGTTAGGGGTGCTGTAGTATGTGACACATTTTATTATACCAGCTTTGGAGTTTAACTGTCATATTAGCTCACCGCTAATTGTAACACCCAATGTAGTGAACTGAACCGGAACAAGATTAAGAGTGTGGATGGACTCACGTTCCAAGGGCTTGGTGCACTGAAGTCTCTGAAAATGCAAAGAAATGGAGTAACGAAGCTCATGGATGGCGCTTTCTGGGGGCTGAGCAACATGGAGATCCTGTAAGTGTGGCTTGTCACAGTTCCCACTCAGATATGGTGACCCCAGAGCTGTCCGTGGACGCTTGGGTAGCTCTTATTTGAAAAGCCTCATTACATCCTCACCCTGTACAGTAATAGTTATAATTTACTCAGTTGTGTTTCAGAGGAACGGAGAGTTTAGTGCATAAATCTTTTCCTGGTGTCCTTATATATCAAAGGCAAGTGTCTAGGCCCATTACGACTATGGCATAAACTGCAGCCAGCCATGCATGCCTTTGAAGAGATTGGATTGTGAACTCCGGACCCCACCTTTGTACCTCAATGTACTTGTAGGCAGCTGGACCATAACAACCTAACCGAGATTACCAAAGGCTGGCTCTATGGCTTGCTGACGCTGCGGGAGCTTCATCTGAGCCAGAATGCCATCAGCAGGATCAGCCCAGATGCCTGGGAGTTCTGCCAGAAACTCAGTGTGCTGTAAGTTGCCTTCTAGTCTCAGGTTTGAGAGCGGGAATTCTGCTGGAGCCTGAGCTTCTTACTGCTGATCTGTGAAATTCTCGTAACAAAGTTGCCAAGGCGACAGCAACTTTCCTGTGTGCCCTTGTTGCTGTGTTTTTGGCTGAGATAAGTTGAAGCCAACTCAGTTCTGTGGCACATTGACAAAGTAGTCATTGTTTCATGGACTATTTATTTAATTTTAATTACTGGGATTAGAAGTACTGTTTACCTGGAGACTGTCAGGGCAGCATGTTAAAACGGGATTATTTTAGTTACATGTATTACCTCACTTTTGGAAAACAGATTGTTGTGCTGAATGGAAAGCTAAAAGCTTTGTTTTTCTTGTTGTTGTTCTTTGCAGAGACCTAACTTTCAACCACTTATCAAGGCTAGACGATTCCAGCTTCCTTGGCCTAAGCCTACTAAATGCCCTCCACATTGGGGACAACAAAGTCAGCTACATTGCTGATTGTGCCTTCCGGGGGCTTTCCAGCTTAAAGACTTTGTGAGTTACACATTTTGCTCTTGGTACACGAGCCTAATTGGTTCCTAAATGTGCCCACTTTTCTCCCAACAGATTTCCTTTGTTGTTGAGGAAATGTGTACAGCCTCCAAAGTGGGGTCTTAATCTTTCCCAGAGCAGTTTGATTAGAATAGACCCATTTTGTCCATGTGTGCTTCTTAAAGGGATTTTAAAGAGGCACTGCGCAGACTGCCCGTGATTGCAGTTTCCCTTTTTAGGTCCACTATTTTTTTTTCTTTATAAAATATAGATTAAAAATAACCCAGAGCATAAAGGCCTATAGGAAGGACCTTAAGGGAAGGTTGTTTATTCTTCTGGTTACCCACGCCTGATTTCTGTCCGAAGGAAGAAAAGTATTGAATTACCTGACCTTTTGAAAAAGCTCTCCAGTGTTAATTCAGGGCTGTGCAGTGGGCGCCACCTGCGCTCTGTTTCCTCTCAACCATTACAGAGTGGAAAGACAGGCTGCATGCTTTGACACATGTCTGTTTACGCGATGGGAACTTGGTTTTAAAATTTAATGTACTTTTCAGGTTGTTCAGGACTTCATGGTTTAGCCATCTTCGTAGAAGACCTAACAGGGCCAGACTTACTGTCTTGGTTTGGGAGAAAATTTTTAGATGTTGAGTGCAGACTTTGGGATGGAGGGGCACCTTGGAGAACGGAGTTTCTTATTCTGGAGTGGATGAAGAAGGTGGGGGTGGGGATTACGAGGACTTTGTTACAAAGGATACACCTGAATGGTGACCCCATATCTCTGAAAAGTATCTCTGAAGAGAATACTGTGTTTCCCTTAGAGATCTGAAGAACAATGAAATTTCATGGACCATCGAAGATATGAATGGGGCATTCTCAGGGCTGGACAAACTGAGGCGCCTGTGAGTATAGTTTGTGTCCTCTGTGACTTGAATTGAAGTTAGATCTATAGCTGATGTTATGGAAAGTTAGAAGCAGACATGTCATCTGTTTGTACCCGTGGCCTTTCCTCTGAGTATGTGCTCTTGTCCATGATGTGTACACATTAGTTAGCTTTTCTTCCTTAGAGGAAAGGAAGAAAATTCTCTCCTGGAATTTGTCTATTTTGACATCTTGAACACTGTTTTGACCGTTACCCATTAGGAGTGGCCGCTGTGTGGCAGTGAGCATGCTTATGCCAGCCTTCAGGAGGCCCTCACGCTTCCTATAGTTATGAGTTCTCCAATGAAACAGTCCATCAGTCACGCTGCACCGGGGTCCAGAACAGATGCGGACACTCTGTATTTCACCATGAGATGGTCCTGTAGACTGTTCTGTTTTCAGTAAGCGAGGAAGGGCACATGAGAAGAGGGGAGAAGTCCCTCTGAGGGGCGGCACTGTCCTCAGGGAACTCAGGCAGCACCCGTGTTTGCTGAGCGTGTTGATTACTCTTCCATTGCTGCGATAAAATAGGACCAAAAGCAGCTGAAGAGTTTATTCTAGCTCGAAGTTCTAGACAGATAGATGTCCACAGTGGTAGGGAAGGCTTGTTGGCAGACACAGAAAGCTGAGAGACCATGCCTCTGCCACACACACAGGAAACAGTATACCGTAAACCCTCAGAGCCCAACCCCAGTGACGTACTTGCTCCAGCAAGGCTTCATATCCTACAAGGTCTGTAGCAATCCTGCGGGCCAGGGACCACACACATGCTCGTGGGGCATTTCTCGTGCAAGCTTCCGCACATGTCTGCTTGGAAACCCATGTTGAATGGTGCTGCTGAACAAGATACCAGGAGTCAGGATTTCAAGTTACATTGTTTAATTGAAAAAAAAAGTTTTGTTCACAAATGAGAATGATCCTTTCTTATAAGAGTTCTGCTCCTAAGATGGCTTCTTAAAATTAACTACAATGTGATTGTACCCCCTTCTTAACCCCCAGAATACTCCAGGGAAACCGGATCCGGTCGATTACCAAAAAGGCCTTCACTGGTTTGGACTCGCTGGAACACCTGTGAGTAGCTGGAATTCAGTTCCCCTAAGGGTGGTCCAGAGGGTTTCTGTTTTGAAACCATTGTGCCAACATTCTCTCCACACGAGAAAGCCCATTTACATATATGCCTGCCTTCTATGAGCCTTGCTTCCTATTTTTGTTCAGTAGCTTTCCTTTGCCCATGTGCTCGCTTCCGATATGGGCTGGAGGTGTGTGTGTGTGTGTGTGTCCCCATTTCGTACCTACCCAGAATGCTGTTCAATAGCTGCTGTTATCATCTTAAAAAGTTAAATAGAATCCCTGAAGATTCCGTTATATTGAGGTGAATTTTAAAGATCAAGAAGATGTCCTTGACAGTGACATGGTAGAGATTTGAGGGTGGACAGCAGTGTCTGAAGAACCTTTGTTGTTGATATAAGAAGCATAGCCTAGCCCTCTGTTGCTCTCTTCCAGCCACACACATCAGTTGGTCAGGCTTCCTCCGACTCCACAGAGAGCCCATACACCTTTGCCCTTGACTCCTCAGCTTGTGCCCTGTGTTGGGAACCTTTGGCACACATTTCTGAAATGAGATTTCCGGGTGGAGGGTTTTCAGCTACTAAGAGAAGACACTTAACATTATGACAGCTGGCCCAGCCACTGTTAGTGCATGCTTCACATTTGCATGGTCAAAGCACCATATAGTTTAGAGTGTGTTTGCTCTATTGAGGAATGTCTGTAGCCAAAAGTTTTCCTGTGTTAGCATGGATATATTTTATTCTTTATATGCACATTTGGGTTGTACCTCACTGGAACTGTGCATTTGGGTGTTGTCTGTCTGTGAGTGACCTTGTCGGCATCTCAACTGTCCCAGTTGTTCTGAGAGACATGGCCCTGGACTTCTGGCTCCACAGACAGTACAGCAGTGCGAAATTGCAGAATGAGTCTGCAAAACTGAGTGCTGCGTAGTCAAGCCAGAAGAGCTGTTATTGAAACAGATTATTTTTCGAAGGAAAACTAGCCAAAGCATTTGTCAACTGGCCCATTCCGTTTCTGGGAAAGTGGAATTAGTGGATCAGCAGAGTATTAACCTCTGCTTCAATTTTCTTTAACCTTCCCTGACTCTCCCAGACTCTTTCTCTACCCAAGTCTGTCACTTTCCTTCTTTGTTTTCTCTTGCTACTGCTTGTCTCAATCAAAATCCCCTTTGTATGCTGTGAGCTCTTGGGTGGGGGGAATGTAACCATTGTGGCTGGTAGTTTAATTCAAACTGCTTTAAAGTACTAGTTAAAAATAGAGCCAACACAGAATATCCTCTCATTTCATGGATGTCCTGCCTGGAGCACTGTTTGCTTTAATGAATACAGTCTCCTCTGAACATTGCTGTCTTTGCAGCGGTGAGCTGCGTGTGACAGAATTAGGCTGGAGCAGAGAATAATGGACTCAACAGGCTCCTTCCCCTTTCATGCCAAGTTACATAGTAAAGCCATTTTTCACTGGGCTGCTTTAGGGATATCTGCTATAATGTATGTCTAAATCACTTGACACAACACATACCGCAGAAAGTGGGCTATAGAAGACGCTTTCTAAAAGATGCAATCATGAAACATTAGGTTGTACACTTGATTAATAGCAAATTTGAATAATGAGAAATAGAGCAATACAACAGGCGGATGAGCCCAAGCCCCAAGGAGTCAACACCCTGGGAGTGTTGGCAGGAATGACCCTCTTACCCCAGAACCAAACCCATCTTTGGGTTCCTTCGTCAGAGCTTCGCAAGAGCTTCCTCTGCAGTTGTCCTATTCACACATTTCAACATGGAGCATTTGCTTGTTGAGTGGGGGTGGGTAGTGGAGCGTGGCCCAGACCTTAACCACATGCCCTGGTCATAGTTTGCTCTGATGTGTTTGGCTTGGCTGTTTTCCAGGGACCTGAGTGACAATGCAATCATGTCTCTGCAAAGCAATGCTTTTTCCCAAATGAAGAAACTTCAGCAACTGTAAGTTTTCCCTTTTCCTCCCAGTCTCAAATAAATGCAGACAGGGAAAATCGTGTGAGGTGTCATCTACAAAAAGTAACTAGCACATTCTTAACATTATTAAGCTTTATACCAGGAAACAAGGGGAGCAGGCTATTTGTTCCCTTGGTTGCAACTGGAATTTCTTTTTCTTTCTGTTTTGAATTTTCAGCCTAAATTTGTGGGACCATATATAGTATGGTTCCTAAATATAGTTCTCATTTTCTGTTACTTAGGAATTTTGATGTACTGGCACTTCTTCCTCAGTAGGACAGTAAGAGGAAGAAAGACCGAGGCCCCCTCTAGCTCAATTTCCTTTACTTTTAGGTGGACAATAGAATATTTATAACATCATGCATTTGGTTTCCAAATTCCTCCCTTGGTTAATATTTCCTAAGTTTGACTAAGTTTTAGAAAGCTGCATTTCCTACAAAACAAATTGAATGTAATTCCTCTCCTCAGGCATTTAAACACGTCCAGCCTTTTGTGTGATTGCCAGCTAAAATGGCTCCCACAGTGGGTGGCAGAGAACAACTTTCAGAGCTTTGTAAATGCCAGTTGTGCCCACCCTCAGCTGCTGAAAGGCAGGAGTATTTTCACCGTCAGCCCAGATGGCTTTGTGTGCGGTGAGTAAAAGCATCGTCCTTGATTTTTATTAATTCTTTTCTTCCACCAATTTGTCCAAGTGATGGTTTTGAAGAGATTTGTGTTCTCTTAATAAAGCTTTTCATTTGTGCTGAGGTAGATGTGGATCTGTAGTTTTCTGCTTGCTGATGTTTTATGGATGTTGGTAGAATTTTCATATTTGTTTTAGCATCAGCATATTTGGTGGCGGGAATGGAACCGGATCTTGGAAGAGCAGAGAGTCGACCCAGCTCTTCCCATCCAGTTCCCTTCCCCGGCCTTCCTCTGCCTGAGCTGTGGAGACCCTCACTGGTTTGGGGAGCTGGTTCTGTAAATGCCGTATTTACAGTTGTCTGTGGTGATAGTACATTGAGGCTTGCTTTCATGAGTTCACTGCGTATTATTTTCAGAGACCTTGGGAAAGTTATAGTTCCTGGTGGTAGCTTTCAAAGATGGCCCTGAACCTGGGGGTTGCAGTTTTCTCTATGTCAGTGGAAATACAGCTGGTGTCTTCTAGGTACTGAGCAAGAGCTCTGCCACTGAGTGGCACCACCAGTTCCCACCCATCGTTCTCTGTTTGTTCTTTATTTTTGAGGTGGGATCTCACTGAATTGTTCAGGGTAGCCTTGAACTCACCCACTCTAGAGTACAGCCTCCTAAGTAGGTGGGGTCACAGCTCTAAGCTGCCAGTCCAGGAAACTAGAAAGTTTCTTAACTGCCTTTTGCCCTTTCTTTAAAAAAAAAAAAAAAAAAATCAGTGTTCTGAGCTGGGATGCCTGCAACCCAGCATTCTGGGAGGCAGAGGCAGGAGGATCTCTGTGAGTTCAAGGCCAGCCTGGTCTACAAAGTGAGTCCAGGACACAGAGAAGTCCTGTGGCAAAACAAACAAACAAACAAACAAATCACTGTTCTATCTTTTAAAAATTACTATCACTAATTCTGTATATATGTATAATTATTTTTCACAAATCCATATATATATATATATATATATATATATATTTGTATATATTTGTATATTTCTTCACACATTATACCTTCTCTGCCCTTTTTCCCCTCCTTCCAAGAATCCAGCTCCCACTCTCTTGTCTTTTTGGTGGCTCCTGCATTTAATCAGTGTTGTCTTCATGAGCATGGGTGGGTGACTGTTTCTTGTGAAAGGGCAGTGCAGTCTATCTAAGTCACTCCCCCTCCTGGCAACCATTAACTGCTTATAGCTCTCAAGGAGGGGTGGAGCCAGCAATAAGCTCCTTCTCCCCCAGGATGAACTGTAGACGCCTGGCTTGTGGTGCTTTTGGGCACTTTGCTTTCTGCTCTTTAACTCTGGGTTTTTGAGAGGCATGTAGGAAAATAAGTAAGTAGCCAGGGAGCTGGGGCTGCTGAGACATTAACTGTTGGTGGATAAAGCATTAGGAGGAATGGCAAGTTGAATTCCTTGCAAATGATTTTAAAGTGCATTGTCTGAGCAACCAAGAATCTCAGTACTTGACACCCCCCAGAGTTCCCGCAGCTACTTAGGAATGGACCATGGTTAAAAACACAGGCTCCATCTCTAATACAGTTCCATCACACACACCAGACTGCTCCTTACTCTTAGCTGCCAGGGAAGCTTTTCCAAAAATAAATGTGTATGGAAAACACAAAATTAAAATTTGCTTAAATTTCAGCAGATGTGAGAAGATACTGCAGACCCACATTTTATACTGGCCTTTAAGCCTGACTAAACACTGCTTTGCATATATATAATATTGTGTATATGCTATCATATATATCATTTATTTGTTTGTTTCTATTTTTCTTCCTTCCTTCCTTCCTTCCTTCCTTCCTTCCTCCCTCCCTCCCTCCCTCCCTCTCTCTGTCTGTCTTTCTTTCTTCCTTTCTTCCTTCCTTCCTTCCTTCCTTCCTCCCTCCCTCCCTCCCTCTTTCTTTCTTTCTTTCTTTCTTTCTTTCTTTCTTTCTTTCTTTCTTTCTTTCTTTCTTT